ACCAAAATTAAGAAATTTTTTTATTCCTACGCAGAATTCTCAAACCATTTCTGACACTTTTTTTTGGCAGAACTAAGGTGTTTACACAAAAATCAATGACAAGTTACTCCATAATTGTTTCCTTATTGTGAGTTTTGACACAAGGCATGTGATCATATACTCCACATATTGCCTCCTGATAAAGTTAAATTATTTACATATTTAGGTCTCGTTTGGGAATATATTAATTTAGTAATTTTTTAATTATTTAGTTAAAATATAAGTTAAAAAAAATTAGTATGTTTGGGATAGTTTTTTAACTTTTTACAAAACGATATGCAAAAAGTAGAGTGAAAAGAAAATCTTTGACTTTTTGGTATGGATTGTTGACGTTTTGGCTAATTTAGTAATTTTTTGAATTTTTGACTAAAAATAAGGGTTCCCAAACGAGGCCTGTAAAATTTGTGATTAAATTTTGGGTTATAAAACCAAGATGCTCAAAGTATTTAATCAAGTTCAAATAAAAAAATAAAATAAAAAAAGACAAAAGAAAAAGAAAAAGTATTTAAGCAAGTTATTGCCATGTGGTTGGTGATCCTGATTAGCATATTTCATATGTTTAGATCAGAGGCCAACAAAGTAGGAATTTTTATGGCATTTCCCTTTGATATGGGTACATGGTTGACTTTGCAAAATGACACATTTGCCATAAAAAAATGTTGAATCTTTTGTTTAGTTGAAATTGATGAAATATTTCAGTTTTTTCTTTGTCTAAAAATTCTTTACAATTTTGACAAGCTACTAGTTTGTGACAAAAGTTTGTTAAGTTCAGACTCGTTTAAATATTGAAGTCATGAGAAGTTGAAATTCCTGCAATTTTAATATTCAAGAACACCGGTAAGAACTTAAAGATTACTATTTCTATCTTATTTTTTAATTGTATTTTTTTTTTAACCCTCATCTTGAATAGCTCTCTTGATGCATTTTATTTATATTTAGAATTACTTAAAAAATAAAGAATACTCATTTCAATCTGACCAAATGAAAGCTGAAAAAGATAAAGAATGCATGAAAACTTAGCTCACTCATTGCCTACTTTATAAATTTGTCATTATCACATTGTTGTTACAAAAAAATTATACCTAATAGTTTCTTCTGGAAAATTCTTAGCTATATATATAAAGGCGGTGGCTTTGGTCCATTGGTCCAGTTTAAGATCGGATTGAACCGTACTGTTGGGTTCGTGGAGGCCTACCACGGGTCTCATTTTGATAATCCGAACCGTTCAATGTGTAGAATTCGTCGAGTACTATATGCTTATAAAAAATCACGTTGATCGGATATCGATAGCTATGTGAACAAAATAGTTTTTTATCAACCGTTAATTTTTTACCGTCCATTTTTTTATACAAAACTGATTTGATCACATAATTATTGATATCCGATCAAAGTGATTTTTTATAAATTTGTAGTACTCGACGAGTTCTACACATTGAACGGTTCGGATTATCAAAATGGGCCCAAAAAATAGGCTCCATGAGCCGAATTGGACGGGTCTAGTTTTGATCTCAACTTGAGACAAACTGGACCCTATATAAATATGTTTTGTAAAATTTGTAATTTATTCCCAGAGTTTAAAAAGTTTTACTTTGAGCCAACTTGGTTCTTATCACTTATGATAAGTAGATAATTTTAACCATTAAATTAATCCTTCAATTTGCACATAAATTAATCATAAAATCAGACACAATTATCTCATATGGATGTGGAATTTACAAAAATATGAGATCTATATTATGTGAGAGTGTTGTATCATCGATTTATGTGTTTCTAATTATTATTTTTTAAATCAAATCTCGAGTAGATAAAAAAGATTAAAAAAAAAAAAAAAACTAAGAGATCATTGAGTATAATTAGTTGATAAATTTACCAATAAAGTAAAACCACATTAGATTTCGAAACTTAGTTATCAAATATCTTAAGTTGTTCAACGTTGATGCATTTAAAAATTTAATTTACCCTTTATGGGTAAATTACACTTTGCCTTTTTTTTTGTTTTACTATTTTTTTTAAGAAAAATGATTTATACCCCCACTGGGGGTCGACCCCAGTGAGGTGGAAGCCCATGATTGGGCGAAAAATAACAGTTTTTTTTTTTTATTTTATTTTTTTTTTATTTTTTTCGGTTGGCAGCCAGTGGTGGCGCGCCACCTCACTGGGGGTGCGACCGCCACTGGGGGTATAAGGCACAGCCCTTTTTTTAATATTATTTTGGCCCTTAATTTTTTCCCCCCACTTTGACCATTTATGTTTTAGTTTTTGTTTTCAATTTACTACTAAAGCTATCTTTTGTCTAAAATTAGACACAAAAATGTTACATTGGCAACCACATGATATGAAATATATTATTATATCTAACCTACACATCTTACTCAAACTTAAACCTAAATACAATGAATATTTTTAAATGATGTGGCAACAAACGTGATATTTTCTGTTTAATTTTTGACAGAAATTAACTTTAAGGGTAAATTAAAAAAAAAACTTAAAATGTGAAAGGTCAAAGTGGAAAAAGAAAAACTTTAAGGGCTAAAATAAAAAAAAAAATGAAAATGAGAAAACATAAATGGAACAAAATATAATTTATTCTTTATTTATTTAAATAAAACTGTTTGGGATCTCCCAAATAAGTCACTTCTTTTTATGAATATATATATTTTTATTTTTAGTGATTTTTTAAAAAAAAAACCATGTCAATTTTTTTTTTTTTTTTCCAATCAGTCTTATGTGTCTCTAATTTTTTTTTTCTGAAAAAATTCAAAAAGTCAAAAAAACCTATTATTTTTTACTTATATTTGCTTTTCCTGAATTTTTTTGGTAAATTTTTAATTTTTAGAATCTAGAGACCAAAATTTTTTAAACTTTTTTTAAAAAAAAAAAATTCAGCTAATAAAACAATGACCCCCCCAAAAAAAAAAAAAAGTAAATCCCAAACATGTATAGGTAGAATGGGAGACTATGTGGTGCTCTGCATGTGTTTTAATTGGCGGATGGGGATAGAATATATAATTTTGTATTAGATAATTAAAAAATAAAAAATTCTACTTACTTCACCAATTTAACTTCTTACATCCTCATAATTCTTTTTTACTTTTTTATTTTGTTTTATAATTTCTATAATTCTTTTATTACCTTCATCCCTAACCTTTCTCATTCTCCTTCTTCTCCTTGCACCAAAAACTTAAAACACCCTAACACCCACCGCCATCACCTTCGACCACCATCCCTTCCAACCCCATCTTCGGCTTCAAAAACTACATCAAAAATAAAAATAGATCTGCAAAGTCCAAAGATAAGAACCTTCAGAGAGATTTATAGAAAAGTGACAAGTGTCGTTGTTGGTATCACCAGAGCAAATCTTCGCCGAATGGAACCCCATTCCGGTGCTACTCTTGTATTTAATTTCAAATCCTAGTTCTCTAATTCAAAGCAAGAAATCCAAAAACCCTAGAAATAGGCTTGGAGTTTCGAAAGTAAACATAAGAGAAAGAGATTTGAAAAGTTTAATGTTGTGTTTGGTTGGGGGATTTGGGGAGAGATTTGAAAAGGAAAATGGAAAAGGTAGGTGAAATGTGAATAAAACATACCTATATTTCACTTAGTTTCACACACATTTTCCTTTTCCCTTTCTAAATCTCTCCCCAAATCCCTCAACCAAACATAGCAAAGAGAGAGAGAGAAAAGTGAAAAGAATCACAAAAACAAAATTAAACAAAAATACTTTCGATTCTTTCTTTGCTCCTCCAATGCTTCAAGATTTATCCCACTTTTGATCACTCCAACTTCCACTCCAATTGGGTATGTCTCGATCGAGCAATTCCTACAACAAATCTCAAATTTTTCACACTAGAGGATCTTTTACATGCATATACATACTGGATTGTTTTGAGAAGTTAATTAAAAGTTAATTTTTTAATTTTTTTTGAAAGTGTAAAAAAATAGAAAGATAATGTGATTCAAAATAAATCAAAACTCAAAAAGTGGCTTTTTAATCCTCCACCGAAAATAAACATATAAATTCTTGAATCAATGTTTTTATGTTTTTTCAATCTATGGGTTGATTTTGATTGCTCATATCGACATGAGTTTATTGAAAATTTTAATGGGTATTGTGTGAATGCATTGATTGTTAGTTGGAAGGAAGGGGGGTGGGAGGTGATGGTGGTATGTTACGGTTTTTTTTTTGGATTGTGTATGTGAAGAGAAGGAGGGTGATAAAGGAGTTATAAAAATTATGAAATAATTAAATATAAAAAATTAAATTTTGAAGGTATAAGGTATTAAATTAGTGGTGTAAGTAGAATTTTCATTAACAAATATGAGGAGACATAAGAATTTGTGATTGATTAGACATATGGTCAGGTGGTGCGCACATACCACCTAAACTATGTTTGGCCCATTTGGGCTAAAATAATCATATAAGATAAAATTGACTATTTTAGTCAAATAAAATAAAATGTCACTTTCAAACTATAATCATTTTATTATTTCTCTTAAAAAAATTTAAAAAAATTTAAAGAATAAAACTTTTTAATCTCAAACTAAAATAATTAAAAAATTAAAAAATTAAAAAATCAATCCATATCCTAAACAAAGATGTCATTATTTTTCTAGCAGGGACAAAGGCCAACACTCCGTTTATTTATAACCCAGAAAATAATAATAATAAAAATTATTATTATTAGTAATATAATAAAAAAAAATAACATGAGATTTTGAAAAGTAAATGACACGACACGAAAGGTAAGGAGTACTAATTCTAGTGGTAAACAAACTTAGGCATACATAAAACACCTGTATCTGAAGAAAAGGATAATCCTCTTTATTTATTTATTTATTTATTTCTCTCATCATCACAGTCTCTCTCCCTCTCTCTCTCTCTCTGAGTTGACTCACTCATATAAAAAAAACTACTCTTGGTTTGATACCGAGTCGACCCATCGGAACTCGCTCTGCTCTGAATCGACTCCATGGATCCTACTCGAGCTTTTGTCAGGAATGTCAAGCGCGTAGTAATCAAGGTAACATTAATTTCCATTTATTTTATTTCAAATTTTCATATCCTTAAATTTATTTATTTAGTTTGAATCTTCGTATGTGTTTTGCATGTACGGTCCCAATCAAAGTTTCTACGTTAAATTTGGTATTAGTTTATCACATTATCAATGATTTACTCTGTTTTTGTCTTTTCAATGTGTTTATATTATATATATGTGTGTGTGTGCGCGCGTGTTCTATATATGTTTGCTTATGTTTGGCATCTATAACATACATGGACAACAATGCAGAACTTGGAAATTACGGGTGCTTTTTATAATTTAATTTATTTATTAATCTTTAGGTAAAATAATGAATGATGGCAGACAATGATTGTAAATTTTTTTGGGGGCAAATTTCATTTATTTGTGGTTTACCCTAACGTTTGGAAATAACCTGCATGTGGTTTGTTAAAATTTCGTTCCACTTAATAGTAAGTTAAGTCCGAAACACGCGACAGACACAACAAGATTATATGCTCATTTTTAAAATTCAAGGGAGTAAATCACATATGAAATAAAGTACGGGTTTAAATTTATCTTTCAAACAAATGACGAAAATATAGGGATATTTTATTCTTTTTAATTAAATCATTAACGGATCTAACAGTGTACTTCAGTTCACAAATCATGTGAGGGTTATGTGGTCATTTTCAAACATTAGGGTACACAACACATGGTCAGAGGCGATAAATTGAAGTTTGCTTTTTTTTTACCCTGAATTGGGAATTTTTTTTTATATATGTTTTTAACAAGCAAGTGGGTATTTTTTTTATTGCCAGAGCTTGATCTCATTTTTTTTAATCTCATTTTTAGATTTTAGAATTAAAACTTGCACTTCCTTATGGCCTAAATTCAACTATTTACCTAAAATTCGGATGGCTAATTATATTTTTGAGCTAGGTAATTGAAGTTCAGAATATAATCTGAGTTTTTATTTTTTGTTTAATTTGTATTTTTTGGCCTCTAGAAGGAGTTTGGGCCCTTTTTCTTAGCACTCAGACAAATTTTCATTATAATTTATTGAGTAGTCTCAATTTGTACTCTTAGGTATTCTATGCTAAAATTTAAGAAATAGTTTGATAGCGTATTCTACTAGTGATTGCATGGCAGAATCTTTACGAATGAATGTGATTAGTTTTACTGTTTTTGAAATATATATTTTTCCCATTAAGGAAACACTTGTGTTTTTGGAATCCTCGTTATGATCAATGTTAACGGTTTTCAAATTTTATGAATTACTTCAGGTAGGGACAGCTGTTGTTACGAGGGACGATGGCAGATTGGCAGTTGGCAGAGTTGGTGGTATTTTTGAGCAGGTATAGATATGTTGAGCTTGTTATGAAATTTGTCTATAGCCATATGATCATGTCTTTTCTAATGTTGTTGCATTACCATGTCCAGAACAGCAACTTTTTCCTTTTCAAATTCTAACTCTAAACAATAGTTTTGATTTGATTCTATGCCTACTATGTCAATGGTGCTAATTAATATGTTCTAAATTTTATGCCTACAGCTTGAAGAACTGAATTCACAAGGCTTTGATATAATTTTAGTGAGTTCAGGTGCTGTTGGAGCCGGCCGCCAAAGGCTTAAATACCGGAGATTAATCAACAGCAGGTTCTCATAGTTTTGTTTTGTGATGTGCTTTCATATTATACCTTTTTGTATAGAAGTATATCAATTCAATTTTATATGATGAATCAATAACTATTTATCTCTAATCATCATAATTCTTTGGCGAATAGCAGTTATTCTTAAATGCATTTTCATCTGAAATTATTTAATAACATGGTGCTGCATAGATATGTTCCTCTACTTTCTTCTCTGGCATGCTTATAATGATCATTGTAGTTTGTGAAATCGTCAAAGTTCTAAATCCTTGAAATGTTTGCAGAGATGGGTATTGGCTTTGCATTCATTTTGGCATTTTTTAAGATTTATTATTTAAATCCATATTGCCTTTCAGTTTTGCTGATCTCCAAAAACCACAAGTTGAACTCGATGGAAAGGCTTGTGCAGCTGTTGGACAGAATAGTCTCATGGCACTTTACGACAGTTTGTTCAGCCAGGTGTAAATATAATCTACTCATTATCCATTTTTAAATAGAACTAGGAATTATTTATTTATTTATTAATTATTTATTATATTTATTTTTTGGGGTTTTGCATTTTCTGAAACTATAACTACTTAAAGCTAGGGTTCAAGAATGTAGATGTAGAAAAATACCAAGAAAAAATTTGTGGTCCAGATTCAACTCTTGTATGATGGGATCCACACTTAGAATAAATCTGGACCACACATTGTTTTACTTGCTATTTTTCTGTGTCAGAGTTCTTGGTCCTATCATTATTGTTCCTTAACAAAGTTTAAAGTTTAGGTTGCATGTTGCCATTTTTGAGGCATTTTCCAAGTCTGTTTTGGTTGTTATCTGTTTGTTCTTATGTTGCAACCTTATTTATGTAGCTGGATGTCACATCTTCTCAACTGCTAGTGACAGATAATGATTTTAAGTCTCAAGAGTTCAGAGTCCAGCTATCTCAAACAGTGAATTCATTGTTAGCTCTGAGGAGTATTCCTATTTTCAACGAAAATGATGCAATAAGTACTAGGAGAGCTCCGTATGCAGTAATTAACTCCTCTATCCTTGCTTCTGTCTCTGAATTTAAATTGACTTTACTATTTATTTCCTTTTTTGGGAATGGGACAAGGCCTTAATGACAGATATTATTCTTAATGTAGTTGTTTCTATTGTTTCTCACATTATGTTTGATTAGCGGACAGGATTAGGTAGGACAAGTTATCATTTCAATATGGGGATAACTTATCCTGAGGAAGGCATTTTTTGGAATTTTGAGACAAAAGTTGTGACCCAGGATAAGTTATCCTACCCCTCCGCTTGGGGAAAAATAATCCCACATATGTGGGATAAAGGCTCCCTCAGGATTAGTTATCCCAGGTCAAAAAGTTTAACTAAATGCATAATTATTTTGTTGTGGGATTATATAATCCAATCCCACCCCCTTGTTTGCTAATCAAATGTGGCTTGAGATCATGAATGATAGCATAGGAAATTAGGAATGGTTAAAGTGAATCCAATCCTACTTGTGTTTTCATTTCCATTACTGGTTATTTATACGTTCTGTCATTCATAATGTAATTTTTTTTTTTTTTAATTATGATTATAAGCATGAATTGCAGGACTCTTCTGGTATATTTTGGGATAATGACAGTTTGGCCGCTCTATTGGCTCTTGAACTAAAAGCCGACCTTCTTGTTTTGCTGAGCGATGTAGACGGTCTTTATAGTGGCCCTCCAATTGATCCACGTTCAAAGCTAATTCATACATATGTAAAAGAAAAACATGAAGCGACAATTACATTTGGAGATAAGTCAAGGGTGGGAAGAGGGGGTATGAATGCGAAAGTAAAAGCTGCCATCAGTGCATCTCGTTCTGGTACCCCCGTTATCATTGCCAGGTATAATTCGACATGCTTGTTTTAAGTGTTTACACTCAGAATTATCAAAGTTTAGACAATTATTATCATCTGAACCAACACAAGCATATTTTCCATCTTCGGTATCCAATCATTATATATGCCAGTGATGTTAGTCAATCATCGATGTAAACATGAGGAAAGAGGAAACATAAACGCAGATCTCTAGTCAATGTAAAAGTTCTAAACATGACAGTTATAGAAAAAAAACAAATAACTTTGTACAAAATTAAGGGATTAGGAACTGAATATGAATATAAAATGCAAACAAATATAGTTTCTGTCTTTTGCTTGGTGCTTATTTGTTTTCTGTTTCCAGTTTTTCCAAATCGTGCATCATTCTTCTGGAGATGAGCTGTCACATCTAGTCTCAGAAAAAGAAAAGATTGCTAGGAAAATAGAAAAAAATATTGCGATACATGTGTCACTTGAAAAGAGAAGTAACTATATGAGTAAATAATTTAAAGAGTAGAGCTATTCAAGTCCAAAAATTAGTCCAACTTTTCAAACCCAATGGTATAGTAATGTATTAAAATATCAAAGGCAAATCTCTCCCTCATATGTTTTCTAATCATCCACCAATCATATCATTTACACATCATTGGGTTTAGAAATTGGGTCTAGAAAATAGACTTGTATATCATTTTTCTAATTTAAAAGATGAAGGTACATATATCACTTAAAAAGAGAAGCAACTGTATTGGCTAATAATTCAATTGTTTGGAGAAATTGGATCGATGATCTAGCCTTTTAATTTATTTGTTTTTGTTTTCTTTTATTTTCTTTATTTTTTATTATTTTATTATTATTATTATTTTAATTTTAAAATAAATTTTATAAGAATGAAGCAATTTACTCAATTATGTAATTTAGTGGGAGGTGCTTGGTGCATGGTCCAGGCGTTTTAACTATCAGAACTATATTGTGGTCTTCCAAGATTGTTTACATCCCTCAGATATGTAAAAGAATAACTAGTTGCCATCATGTCTCTCAGCATGTAATAATTACCGATTTTAATTGGTTGATATTATTGAACACAACATACTGCATTGCTAGTTAATTAATCAAATTTGATTTTGCACATTTCTTACATATGTATATATATGTACATATATTTCATTCTGATGAAGTATTCTATAATGCAAAGGATTATTCATTGTTGGCTTTGTAAAGTTGAGTTTTAATTACACGGGATAGAAGGCATGCTGGTTTCTCAGATGTAGATTTCCTGGTTACACACTAAATTTGTTTCCCTCTTTCTGGAAGTGGCTTTATCGCTGATAACATCACGAAAGTGCTAAGTGGAGAACGAGTCGGTACTCTCTTTCATAAAGATGCACATTCGTGGCTTCCTCTTACAGACGTTGGTTCACGCGAAATGGCAATTGCAGCACGTGAATGTTCCAGAAAGCTTCAGGTTAACAACGTCATGCTTATTTGAATACGCATGGCATAGAGCTTCCTGTGTCAATATGAATTTTCTCTAAAACACTATACCTCATCTACAACCAGCTTTTTGTGCATTCTTATTCATTTTTTTTGGAAAAATAGTGACTTCCAGCTAGAATAATCTCAATCACTGTTTTGCGTTGCAGAGTCTATCTTCAGAAGATAGGGCAAAAATATTGTTTGATGTAGCCGATGCACTGGAAGCAAATGAAAGTTTAATCCTGGCTGAGAATGTAGTTGATGTTTCTGCTGCAGAGAATACTGGATATGACAAGTCATTGGTATCACGTTTGGCCCTGAAGCCTGGGAAGGCAAGTAGTTGTTAAATAATAAAATTCTATTCTATCATCAATTTGTAATATATTACTTTCCATTTTATTACTATTTTGTTTTCTTTTTGACTCTCTGGTTTTCTTTTAGCTAGGAACAGATGTCAGGTATACTCATTTTTTCCTCTCCTCATAATTCTAATTTTTGGAAACTGTTCTGGATCAATTATTGCACACCCGAGGGGTTCATCTCATTTATGTTGGTGTTTGGGAGACAACATGGGGGGATGGTCATTGGTGATTGGTGGAAGTCGAGGTACTTAATAAAAAAATTGTTCTCATGATACCGTTTATTGTTTGCAGATCTCTGCTCTTGCAAAATCTATGCGTACGCTTGCAGAGATGGAAGAGCCCATCGGTCAGGTTTTGAAGCGAATGGAGGTGAGAAAATTTTTCATAGAACTATGTTGTTGATATTTGCAAAGGCAAGGACACAAGTTTGGTTCTTAAGACTATTTTGAAATATTTAACATGGGTTAAGCTTTAAAGGGCCTGTCTCAAGGATCCCAAGCACACTGTGATCCCATATTTTCCACCATCAGTCGTTAGAAAATTGAAGTAAATCTGATTTAAGAAAATTTTGTTATCTGCATTACCTGGAGATTATGGTGCAAATATATGTAATATGAGTAATGCTATACAAACAGAATTTGTATACATAAAACTCATACAGAATGATGTGTCTTATTTATGGCCATTCATTAGAAATCAAAATACCCACCACTTTGGTTCATAATTGCAAGAATACCATTGCCACATCATTCTTGTCTTAAATTTTGTATGAGAATTATGGATTATGATCCTCACCATTCCAAAGTTGTAATGGTGGATCTCCATTGTACTATCCAAGGGTTTTTAATTATTCTTTCTAAATTTAAAATATTGATAAATTCTTATGATTATTTCACAACCCTTAGATGATGTTATGGACATCTTCAATTACAACCATGGAATGGAGAGGAACTTAGTCCATCACATCATTCTTGTCTTAATTTTGGTATGAAAATTATGTATGTATATCATTTTTCATTTAATATAAATGGAATTAAATATTGAACTTAATGAACAAAGATGTAGGAAGCATCTTTAATATATTGTGCTCGGTTGGGTTGGTTGTTGATTTGTTGACACATCTCTTGACTGTTCTTGCATCCAGCTTGCAGATGGACTCATCTTAGAGAAGAGATCATGTCCTTTGGGTGTTCTATTGGTTGTTTTTGAATCCCGACCAGACGCACTAGTCCAGGTAATAAAAATTACTTTATCTGCAGCATCATCCGGTATATTTCACTGATAAGGATGTTTGAAGGGTTGTTAAGAGAATTACTATTTAAGGATGAACTGAGCATTTGTTTTTGTTTTGACTTTACCTTTCCGTTTTTACATTGTAACTTTGGGGTAATTAGGAGGCTTCCTGCCACATACATTTTGTCACATGGATCTGGAATTTGGAAATATAAATTTACCATGTCTTAACAGAATTATCATACATCTATGCACAGCTAATTTTTATTATGCCATATACACTTTTTTTGGAGGGGCTATAATAATTTCTTTTACTATTTCTTTAAATGCTAGGATTGAATAATCTGAACAGTAAAAGGCCCGAAATGCCCTAGGACCATCAAGGCACAGCCAAATTTTCTCATTCTATATGCTAGGGAAGAACTTTAGTCAAGCACACATAAACCCCTGGGTACATGCGCTTTAGTTAGGCTCCAGGATGAAGAAATGCATGCCTATCTTTATCCTTGTCTTTTTATTTTTCAATGGTCATTGATTGATATGTCCAACATCATGTCATGGTCTTATATGATAGATCATACTCTTTTGTCATTTTTGGTATTTTGATTTCATGGTCTTATTGTTTACTACTTAATGTAGATATCTCTAGTGCTTGATTTCATGAATTAGTTATATCTACTCTTTACATGTTTACAAGTACAATATGCAACAATCATCACAAATGCTCGATGAATTATTTCTTTTTCCAGTATACTTAACAGAGGATTTCACCAAGTCGATTCTATTTTATCTGACTCAGGCTTTTGACTTATGCTGAGCCTTGCACTTACGCATGGGGTACCTTGGTGCCCAAGTGCTTCTTCAATCTGTAATAACTATTGATAGAATGATACTACACCTTTAATGAGTCAAAGTTACTAATTGAGCTTTGAACTGATGACCGTATCATTTTTTTCGGTTTTTATTCCTTGCATGTTTATGTTTTCCCGATCAACTAATCCGTAATTTTTAAACTTGCTTGACAGATAGCTTCATTAGCAATTCGGAGCGGGAATGGTCTATTACTGAAAGGAGGGAAAGAAGCAATGCGTTCAAATGCAATCTTGTACAAGGTCCGATTTCACAGGGCCAGGCAACAGTATCTCAAATTTTTTAGAAGCTTATCAATTGCTTAATAAATCAAGTTCTCTTTTTGATTTTTTAACTCAATTTCTTTTCTTGTTGCAAATTTATTTGTTCTTCCAGGTAATAACTGCAGCCATCCCAGATAATGTTGGTCAAAAACTTATCGGGTTCGTGACTTCAAGAGATGAAATTACTGATTTGCTCCAGGTGGGTATTGAGATTGCACACTCGTCTAGTTTTTGACACGACTCTAGTTTTAACTAATCTTATTCTTCTTCAGCTTGACGATGTGATAGATCTTGTGATCCCTAGAGGTAGTAATAATCTTGTTTCCCAAGTAAAGAATTCAACAAAAATTCCCGTTCTTGGTCATTCAGGTAGAGAGATATTGTCCCACTATTATCCATGCTTACTCTATACGCGTAACTGATTTTCGCTTATAGTAAAATTGCTCTCTTTGCTGCCCAGATGGAATATGCCATGTTTATGTTGATAAGTCAGCTAATATTGATATGGCAAAGCACATTGTCTTGGATGCAAAGACAGATTATCCCGCAGCTTGTAATGCTATGGTATCTTCAGCTTACACTCTTTGTGACTGAGCAACTTTCTCTCTGTTGGATGTACCTATCGAGTTTTTATTTCCAGAGATTTGGCTTTGTATATGTTTGCCCATGCATGGTTTACAAAATTCTGTTATATGCTCCGTTAGCATGGTTTATCTCTTTTTATCAGGAAACACTTCTTGTGCACAATGATTTGTCAACTAATGGTGGGCTCCAGAAGCTTGCTCAAGAACTCCAATGTGAAGGTATGACTAAGTAATTTCACTTTATGAAGTGTATCAAAGTAAGGTGAACCACTGGTTCAATGGTTAAAACTCGGCCCAACTAACATTGAGGTTGTGGGTTGGAACCTAAGGTTAGTCACTTTGTGCATATTATGCTAAAGGTTAGGTGGGCTTAGGCGGACTTTGAAAATGGGGCCCTCCTACATATATTTTTTTATAAAAAAATTACTGATAAAATAAAAATTTACCAATAATTTTTTTATTATTTAGTAGCTACAAAAAGTTTCCTTATACATATAATCATTAAAATTTATTTTCATATATTAAGATACAATAAAATCATAACAAAGACTCAAAAAAGATAAAATAAGGTCTTGTTGTTTTATAGTTTAGCAATAATCAATACAAACAACATAATTCAGTGATATTTGATAACGAAATAATTATGTTAATCATAATCCACACAAATCATAATCCACTAATTATTTGATAACAAAACACAAATTATTGAAAAAAAATTGGGAGAGCAAACTAAGACAAAATTATTCAATTAAATTATGAAAAAGAGAGAGGGCAAAAAAATTTAGGCAAAAAAATTAAGGAAAAGAAATTAGGGCAAAATTATTCAATTAAAATATGATAAACAGAGATGGCAAAAAAATTATGATAAAGTTATTTATTCTATTAAATTCTTGACATTAGACTCTATTTGGACTCATTATATCATATATATTTGTTTGAACTAATTACATAAATTTTTAATTGGGCCTAGGAATGATTATATATATATATATATATATATATCTAATTTGGCTCGACAGATTTTTGTGAGGGGCCTTTTAGACTGGGTCTCAAACAATAAAAAAATTGCTTCATTTGATGTGTGGTTGATCCATCTCCTTCGGGCCGGCTCTGAGATTTATGAGACTTTAGACGGAACTTTCAAAGTGGGCCTTTATATATATATATATATTATTTTTTTAAAAAAAATTACGGATAAAATAATAAGTTATCAATAATTATTTTATTATTTAGTAGCTATAAAAAGTTTCCTTACACATATAATCATTAAAATTTATTATCATACATAAAAATACGAAAAAATCATTACAAAGACTAAAAAAAGATAAAATGGGGTCTTGTTTTATAATTTAGCAATAATCAATACAAACAACATAATTCGCTGATATTTGATAACGAAATGATTATATTATTGTAATATGATATCTGATAGCACAATCATAATCCATATAAGTCACAATTCACTAATTATTTGATAACAAAACACAAATTATTGAAAAAAAATTGGGAGAGCAAACTAAGACAAAATTATTCAATTAAATTATGAAAAAGAGAGAGGGCAAAAAAATTTAGGCAAAAAAATTAAGGAAAAGAAATTAGGGCAAAATTATTCAATTAAAATATGATAAACAGAGATGGCAAAAAAAATTATGATAAAGTTATTTATTCTATTAAATTCTTGACATTAGACTCTATTTAGACTCATTATATCATATATATTTGTTTGGACTAATTACATAAATTTTTAATTGGGCCTAGCAATGATTATATATATATATATATTTAATTTGGCTCGACAGATTTTTGTGAGGGGCCTTTTAGATTGGGTCTCAAACAATAAAAAAAGATTGGGCTTTGAACTTTTAATCTAATATAAAACTAATAAATTTGAGGCCTTATTTTGGGCCAAAATTTGGGGGCCCTATGCATAGGCCTTAGTGTCTTAGCCCAGGGCCGGCCCTGTTCATCACAAGACTATGATAACAGAGTCTTGTGGCATAACTCCAAAAGAAGTACTATGGGAAAATAGAAAACCCTTCAATGATCACAGAAACAGATTCATTACCATAAGTTTATCCGTTGCAGGTGTTACTCTATATGGTGGACCAAGAACGAGCTCTTTATTAGATATTGCAGAGGCCCAATCGTTTCACCATGAGTACAGTTCGAGGGCTTGCACAATTGAAACTGTCAGTGATGTGTATGCTGCTATTGATCACATACATAAACATGGAAGGCACGTCAGCATTTTTCAGTTTCTTTGTTTGTTTGTAGAATAATCTTGGGAAACTTATAATATTATATGGGGATTTATTTATTTATCTTAATTTTTTTTTTCAGTGGCCATACTGAATGCATTGTTACAGAAGATTCCGAAGCTGCTGAACTTTTCTTACGTCAAGTGGACAGGTGGGCATATTCTATTATTATATAACTAATGTTTTTACACTTTTGATATTTTGTTTTTGATAAGTATATTTTGAAGGTTTGATGTTGCTAATCATTATCACTTTACATTCTACATCGACAGTGCTGCAGTATTTCACAATGCAAGTACACGATTTTGTGATGGTGCTCGTTTTGGACTTGGGGCAGAGGTAACTGATCTTTCCAACATTCCCGCTGCTGAACTCCAGCTTAGTTGAATTTCCTTCTCTCATCTGTTGTTTGGTTCTATTTAATGGCTGACAGGTTGGGATAAGTACGAGCAGGATTCATGCACGAGGTCCAGTAGGAGTTGAAGGTCTATTAACAACACGATGGTATGTGAATTCTTATCCATCTTCTTATGCCATTTTCTGTATGACTTGTGGAAATGATTGCTAGGATTGCTATGATCACTAAATGAATTGAGAAGTTTGCTTTGTTTTCCTTAAAACTGGGGGTAAGACAAATTTAAATTTTGTGGTTTTAGCATCTTGATTCTACAAGAGATTTTGCATTCTTGGAAATGGTAAATTTTTCTTAAACGTCCAATTAGTTCTTTTAGGAGTTTGACAGCGTTTGCAAAGATGATGCATATAGCTCTAGAACGCTTCTAGGGTTGAAGTCTAACAACAGATCATATATTCATAGTAAATGATTCGGTCAATATATGTCAACACTAAGGGTATGAGTTCTTGTCTAGTACCAAGGTCATTCTATGTCTCTTGCCATTTTCCCCCCCTAAATCTTCAATATTGTTCTACATATGCACATCTGTCCTTGTGTTTTGGTTACATAAATATTTTTTAGTTAGCATTTCCTTTAATTTAACTTTGGGAAATTCTTTAATTTAACCTTATTCTCAAGTTTTTATGGGTTTCTAATTTTTACAGCTTACCAATTTTTTGCATCAGTAATAATATTATTATTTACGATGCATTTCAACACCCTAGCATGAGCCCAACTAGTTGATGCAACACGAGAAAAAGGAAAATGAAAATAAAAATAAAGAACTCTACTTGAATACTTTGCCTTTGTTTTCTCAAAAGAACGTGTGCTTAACAAATCATAGAACTCTCCTCTTCTCATGAAACATTAACTAATTGTGATGTTACTGATACTGATATTGCTTGCATTGTCCATAAGATAATGAGTGAAACATTTTTTAGGCTCTGTTTGGTTTGGACTACTTAGGTTGATTCAATCACCAAGAGTCACTAAATCTGTTTCTTGTTTCAAAGAACTACACATGGCAAAGTTGATCATCAATTTTGATATCACACGTGCATTAGCTATTACTCAAAGTTGCATTAGCCAAAGTAGTTGATCATCAATTTTGTAAATTTATTTCTAATGTTTGTTTTAAAGTTCCACCAATTAATTGACTTATAGTCACTCAACTCAACTCAGCTCAACTCGCCTCTGTCCCCATTACTTAGGGTTGGATACATCGCCTCAACCCATGTTCTCCTCTGCTTTTCTCTATTTCTCTTACCACCCTCCACGTGGATCAAATTACTTCATACATGTGCACTAGTTAGTCTATGATGCACATTATCATACATCTCAAACGGTTTTTCCCCAATTTACCTTCAATTGGTGCCACTTCTTTCTAGTGAATTTAAACAAATTTTCCTTAACCACCTAATATTCTGCATGGTGTTGAACACCAATGTTCTTGCTGGTTTTACCCTTTTTATTTATTTTATTTTATTTTATCAACAATCACTATGTGCTCTCTCTAGTTCATTAGAATTGGAATTTAACCTTTTGTTCAATGCCTGGGAATACTGGAATGTTTTGATATTAGTTTCTTGGACACACATAAGCATGCACGAAGGCTTATTTATGTTGCTTATATTTAACGCTGCATTTGCTTCCTTGTGTTGCAAATATAGGATTCTAAGAGGTAGTGGGCAAGTGGTGGACGGTGATAAAGGCGTCAATTACACCCACAAGAACCTCAGTCTCGAGTAATAGCACTGCAGGAGGAGACTCGTCAGGACAGCCTCTCTTGTTTCTTGTCAATTTTGGTGTCACCCTTCTTTGCCCTATTGTAGTTCTTGTAGTAGTATTACAATTTCTTTGCTAGATGCTGTCTACCTGGATAATTCTTAGGAGAGAACCCTTCATGAGTTTATTTCTTTTATTATTATTCTTTCACCATGTCAACAAATGATGTTTTCAGTGCAGTTTTCATAGAGCCTGTGGCTGAGACAAATAAATACAACTTATGTGATTCTTTTCATTTCTTCACGTTTACGTTTTCAGTTTATATTTACAAAAATTTTATAAACTGGTTTTTGTTTATTTTTTGTTTATTTTTAGAAAAACATAAACTACAAACGTGTTTGGTAATTGGTGTCACCCTTCTTTGCCCTATTGTAGTTCTTGTAGTAGTATTACAATTTCTTTGCTAGATGCTGTCTACCTGGATAATTCTTAGGAGAGAACCCTTCATGAGTTTATTTCTTTTATTATTATTCTTTCACCATGTCAACAAATGATGTTTTCAGTGCAGTTTTCATAGAGCCTGTGGCTGAGACAAATAAATACAACTTATGGGATTCTTTTCATTTCTTCATGTTTCTGTTTTTATTTTTGTTTTCGTTTTGTTTTTGTTTTTGTTTTTTTTTTTTTTAAATTTCTAAGAATGGTAAAGAAGTGAAAGTAATCCATTGGTATCTAGGATTGTGGAGATCAAAGAATGCTTCTCCATTTAGATGTAATGTTTGGGTCAATAAATGATCCTGCCCTTTGGCTAGGTTTTATTTCCTTTTCCATTGATTCTAATAGAATTTTAGGGCTAGTTTGGCATATACTAAATAAGTCAAAAAGTCAAAAAGTCACTATCTTATTTAAGTCACATCATCTTATTTAAATCACATCACCTCTCTAACACATCACATCAAACCCAACCTAAACCCACCAATAAGTCAAAAAGTACACTTTTTTAGGACATCCCAAACCAACCCTTAGTAGGAAAAGAAAAATTTACATTTATTCATGGTCATTATAATTATATCCACAGCCTCTCTTAACATTGTGGAGTCCAGCTTATGAATTTAGCAATCCTCTTTTATAAATAAATTTGAACATCCAAACAGAGGGGATGAAAATGAAAAAAAAGAAGAAGAAAAAGAAAGTCAAATACACTAAGCTCCCTCGAGGTAATGGAAAAATTTACAAAACATCACTGTTTTAATGTATTGACTTCACTTGCAATAATGGTAATTTTAACAGTATTAGTAGAGATGATAGAACCTACCTGGTCCCTCCATTTCTTTAAACTCTCACCTAGCAAAATGAATCCCCTACATTTTTTTTCTGGGTGGTTCTATTTACACACCACTTTTTATCTCAAGGCACACCACTTGCTCAGTTCACACCATACACAAATTAAAATTTTTAATTTTGTCTCAATACACAGTTAATTTTTCAACAATACCAAATTACCCTCATCTTCTCCAACTAACCCTAACCCTAACCCTAACCCTAACCCAAACTCAAACTCAAACCCTCACCCATCACCAGCCATCGGCCACTGACCCCACCCCTCCCCCTCTATGACCCCTCTCTGGCCCATCTTCTATCTTCTTCTTCATCGTCTAAATCTGGAAACCCTAGGGCTCTCTCTCTCTCTCCCTCTCTCCCTCCCTCTAAGTAGAACTTAGGCAGCACCGCGCGAGAAACGAGCTCGATGTCACGAATCTGGAGTTCGGCGTAAGAGATGAAGATGAGCGCAGGAATCGCGAGGGCTTCGGAGACGAAGATGTATGCGATTGCAATGAGAGGGAAGGAGAGGAGGAGAACAAGCCATCGGAGGAGACTACCGACTTCTATGGCGACGAACATGAAGTAAAGGAAAGAGGAGCTGCCGATGAGGAGTGTTCCATTGAGGTCGACGGCGATCGACTGGTGTTTCACGGCAGAGACGTCACATGATGTGATCGCCGGTAAGGATTTCTTTAGGATTTGCAAACGAAGGAGATGGAATAAAGATGAGGGCAATTTGGATATTTAATTGAAATATAAAATTATAATTAAAAAATTATAAATAATGGTGTCCTTTGAGATAAAATATGGTGTGTGAATAGAGCCACCTTTTTTTTCTTTAAACTCCTACCTTAATACCAATTATACCCCTCATCTTTTTGCCCCCAATTTTTTTTCTGCAATTTTCATACCACAGGCAGTCCCACCCCTTCGGTGACCTTCCAGAACCTCCCCCATCGGCAACCATCCTCCGCCCCCTTCATCATCTTCAACCATAACTCTAAAATAATTAGGGTATTTTGAAACTCTATCTCTGAAATCTTCGGGAATCCCAAACAACAACCTGCTATGATACAACCTCCATATTGCCAACTGTAAACCCCACTGTAAAAAACCCCCAACAGCAAAGATGAAAGATGAACACCAACAACTAAATGTAGATAAGACAATTAACTTTGACCTGGTAATAGTGCAAATTGCAGGTGAAAGATGAACACTACTGCCATATGTAGATTTAATTTCAGATATTCCATAATGCCCAAGCCCGTAATTCATGATACTAGATAGATGCTCTGACACAACTATCCTTAACTTCTACATTGCAATAATATGCCTCTTTCCCCTGCACCAGCAGCGGCAATATGGGGATCGAGGCGGCGTGAAAAGACCTATCATCGGAAACTCCTGCTACTGTTGCGGAGGCAGAGGAGGCAGCAGTTGATATCCTTGCTCGCTGCGGAACTGGTGGTCGCCGACGGCAGTGGCAATGGTGGTCGTCGGTAGAGATGGTGGTGAAAAGGTTGGTGGGTTAGGGATTGGGAAATTAGGGTTAGTGTTTGGAAAAGAATAATGCTTGGGACCCCTTTTGGGGGTCACCCCCTCACCCCCTTTGCCACGTGGCAGGGGGTGATTGGAGGAGTAGGAAAAAAAAGAAAAAGAAAAAGAAAAGGTAACCAATGAGAGAGAGAGGGGGTCAAAGGGGGTGGAGGAAAAAGGGGGGATGAATCATTACTCTTTGGAAAATTAGAGTTAGAATGTTAGGGATGAGGGTAAAAATGTAAGCCTGCGTTTGGTTGTATTTTGTAAATGTGATTTGAGAGTATAAGTTATATTTTGAGTTTGTGTGTTGTAGAATTATGATTTGAGTGTAGAAAATTTGTTTGGTAAAGAGTTTTGAAAATAGTTTTGGAAAAGAGATTTGATTTGAGTATTTAGGATAATTTAAATAAATATATTTTTTAAACTGTTTACGGAAAAAAAAAATTTAAGTAGAAAAGTTATTTTTTGTCAAATAGTGTTCATTTAATTTTATTAATTTTAAATTCAAAAAAAAAATTATTTTTCTATGCTATCTACCTTCTATACTTAAATGGAATCCTTTTTTTTAGTAGATAGTGTTCATTTAATTTTATTAATTTTAAATTCAAAAAAAAATTATTTTTCTATGCTATCTACCTTCTATACTTAAATGGAATCCTTTTTTTTAGTAGATAGTGACCGGCCGGACGTCCCGTTCCCTCAAACGCCCCCTCTGCAACAAACAGAATGCTTTGACATATAGACAGAGCTTCCAGCAGAGTTTTGGAAAATTAATTCCAAAACTCTTACCAAACATCATGCTCAAACTCAAGTGTTGAAAACTATTTTCAGAGCACAAACAAACAGAGCCTAACTTTTTGTTAGACAAAATTAAAATTAAAAAAAAAAAAGAAAAAAAGAAAAAAAAACGAGGGATTCCAAGAAGAAAAGTAGATGTTAATAAGAGCACTCTTAATATATTATCCTTATATATTTTGTGTCTTTAAATATATATTTGATGCAAATGACACAATTACCCTCTCTCTTACCAAACAAATTTACCCAATTACTCTCATTACAATGTGTATTATTCGAATATGAAAATGAGTTTTTGGATTCATGTAATGTTTGGAGATTAGGATAACAAAGGATTTCAGTTAAGCAAGTCCTACTGCCAGCTTCCACCTAGACGAAAAATGTAAATGCTATCATTTTAGTCTACAAATGATGACAACATTATTTTCAATTCGTTTGGCTAATGAATAACTAACAATATGGGCCTAAATGTTATGTCAAAGAGAATAGTGTAATTACATCAAAAAATTGTAGAGTTAAATTTGTAATTTATTCATTACTCCGGAAAAATTAGTGTATTTTATTTACTAAAAAAAAAATGTTTTAGTTCTAGTTTTGGGGAAGTGTTATTTACTTTAATACTGAAAGGCCTCTCCTTTTGTGGTCTTGTGGAATCTGGTGAGATTAAATCCAAGCTAATCAACTTCTTCTTTTTTTTTAAATTTAATTTTAAAATTTTTTCTCCAGGAAGGGTAAGATGCATTACGCAATAGTAATAACAACCAAATTCAAGCATCATGCCTGGTAAGAGAGCGCCGCTAGACTTTCCTGATTATCCAACCCAATTTTGCTATTTCCTATTGATATTGATATTTAAAACTTTGCTCACTCAATGATTACAAGAAAGCAAATAGAATACATTGGTTTGATTTCATTTAAAAAGAACTTGATACACTATGACAATCTAAATTTTATTAAATGGGTGAAAATAATATAATGGTTGACAGTATTCCAAATTTATTTTTACAACAAAGAAAATGGATTTTATCCTCTCAAATTTCACCATCCCACAACTCTTGAAGGCTTGTGTAGGGGCTCTTGCTCTCATGAACTGCAAAATCCCCCCTGAGGAGCCTTTGCTGCAACAAACATAAACAAGATTTGTTTACTTATAGAATTGCGACTCTGGAATCTGTATACATGTATCGTTAGTACAGAAAAATCAATATGTGACCTAGATTTATTCTAATTGTAGTGAGGACAACACAGAATGTACCCAAGCCACATTTTTGTAATTTTTTTTCTGTGCACATAGCATTACTGGTACTACCTGTATTATGCATAAGTATTTGTGCGCAATTATGGGGCATACTCACCTGGTGGATAGCAGCGAATTTTGAGAAGAGCTCTGGAGGGATGCACCAGTCAAATAAGTTGAGATTCTCCTTAATCCTAGACTCATTAACACTCTTTGGGAGGACACTGTGATCACTTTGAATGCCCCACCTCAGGGCTACTTGTGCAGGTGACTTGTTAAGCTTCTCAGCAATCTCAACCAATATTGGTTCCTTCAAGATTTCGCCTTTCACCCAAGACCCTGGAGACCCCAGAGGAGAGTACGCCTGCACAACCAAGCTAATCTTTAACACTACTGTTAACATTGGCCCTGTTTGATGGAGCTTTATTTGAGCTGCCTATAATTTTTTTTCCCCTTCAAAATTTTGTGAATTTGTGTTGAGTATTTGGCGCAACTTACACTTATAACTTATTTCTGTTTTTATTTTTGTTTTCGTTTTGTTTTTGTTTTTGTTTTTTTTTTTTTTAAATTTCTAAGAATGGTAAAGAAGTGAAAGTAATCCATTGGTATCTAGGATTGTGGAGATCAAAGAATGCTTCTCCATTTAGATGTAATGTTTGGGTCAATAAATGATCCTGCCCTTTGGCTAGGTTTTATTTCCTTTTCCATTGATTCTAATAGAATTTTAGGGCTAGTTTGGCATATACTAAATAAGTCAAAAAGTCAAAAAGTCACTATCTTATTTAAGTCACATCATCTTATTTAAATCACATCACCTCTCTAACACATCACATCAAACCCAACCTAAACCCACCAATAAGTCAAAAAGTACACTTTTTTAGGACATCCCAAACCAACCCTTAGTAGGAAAAGAAAAATTTACATTTATTCATGGTCATTATAATTATATCCACAGCCTCTCTTAACATTGTGGAGTCCAGCTTATGAATTTAGCAATCCTCTTTTATAAATAAATTTGAACATCCAAATAGAGGGGATGAAAATGAAAAAAAAGAAAAAGAAGAAGAAAGTCAAATACACTAAGCTCCCTCGAGGTAATGGAAAAATTTACAAAACATCACTGTTTTAATGTATTGACTTCCCTTGCAATAATGGTAATTTTAATGGTATTATTAGAGACGATAGAATTAATATAGAGGGCTGCTATTAGCATCTACCTCTTTACTTTGGTCCCTCCATTACTTTGACACAATTACCCTCTCTCTTACCAAACAAATTTACCCAATTACTCTCATTACAATGTGTATTATTCGAATATGAAAATGAGTTTTTGGATTCATGTAATGTTTGGAGATTAGGATAACAAAGGATTTCAGTTAAGCAAGTCCTACTGCCAGCTTCCACCTAGACGAAAAATGTAAATGCTATCATTTTAGTCTACAAATGATGACAACATTATTTTCAATTCGTTTGGCTAATGAATAACTAACAATATGGGCCTAAATGTTATGTCAAAGAGAATAGTGTAATTACATCAAAAAATTGTAGAGTTAAATTTGTAATTTATTCATTACTCCGGAAAAATTACTGTATTTTATTTACTAAAAAAAAATGTTTTAGTTCTAGTTTTGGGGAAGTGTTATTTACTGTAATACTGAAAGGCCTCTCCTTTTGTGGTCTTGTGGAATCTGGTGAGATTAAATCCAAGCTAATCAACTTTTTTTTTTTTTTTTAAATTTAATTTTAAAATTTTTTCTCCAGGAAGGGTAAGATGCATTACACAATAGTAATAACAACCAAATTCAAGCATCATGCCTGGTAAGAGAGCGCCGCTAGACTTTCCTGATTATCCAACCCAATTTTGCTATTTCCTATTGATATTGATCTTTAAAACTTTGCTCACTCAATGATTACAAGAAAGCAAATAGAATACATTGGTTTGATTTCATTTAAAAAGAACTTGATACACTACGACAATCTAAATTTTATTAAATGGGTGAAAATAATATAATGGTTGACAGTATTCCAAATTTATTTTTACAACAAAGCAAATGGATTTTATCCTCTCAAATTTCACCATCCCACAACTCTTGAAGGCTTGTGTAGGGGCTCTTGCTCTCATGAACTGCAAAATCCCCCCTGAGGAGCCTTTGCTGCAACAAACATAAACAAGATTTGTTTACTTATAGAATTGCGACTCTGGAATCTGTATACATGTATCGTTAGTACAGAAAAATCAATATGTGACCTAGATTTATTCTAATTGTAGTGAGGACAACACAGAATGTACCCAAGCCACATTTTTGTAATTTTTTTTCTGTGCACATAGCATTACTGGTACTACCTGTATTATGCATAAGTATTTGTGCGCAATTATGGGGCATACTCACCTGGTGGATAGCAGCGAATTTTGAGAAGAGCTCTGGAGGGATGCACCAGTCAAATAAGTTGAGATTCTCCTTAATCCTAGACTCATTAACACTCTTTGGGAGGACACTGTGATCACTTTGAATGCCCCACCTCAGGGCTACTTGTGCAGGTGACTTGTTAAGCTTCTCAGCAATCTCAACCAATATTGGTTCCTTCAAGATTTCGCCTTTCACCCAAGACCCTGGAGACCCCAGAGGAGAGTACGCCTGCACAACCAAGCTAATCTTTAACACTACTGTTAACATTGGCCCTGTTTGATGGAGCTTTATTTGAGCTGCCTATAATTTTTTTTCCCCTTCAAAATTTTGTGAATTTGTGTTGAGTATTTGGCGCAACTTACACTTATAACTTATAAGGCAAAAATAACTTAAATAAATTGATTATTTGGAGGTTAGGAGAAGAGTGCTTTTAGCTTGTGTTACATGGGCTATGTACTTAGCCTATTGCACCGTGTTCACCGGATATGACATGGGTAAGGGTATGGGATATGCGTCTAACACCCATATCCAATTTACACTTGGATGCTCTTGTTTTATATGATGTTTCAAGAGAAGACGCTTACTTTTGCTAGTAAAGAAACTTTTCTAACTTCTCATATGAATAGGTGATATAAATTTCATTTTTTTTTATACGACATCTTATCTAAGAATATTATAAAATATACAATATATATCACTGTTTAAAGGCTTGTTCCCATACCCATATCCAACTTTTGGATACATATCCCAATATTTTGGTTTAGGAAGATCTAACGCTTGGACAAGCATCTGCAACCGATTCTCATACTTGAGTGCATGTAATATGGCCTTTAGGTTCTACATTTTGATTGTCAATTTTAGCTTGAGAAAAGTTGCATGAAACAGCCCTAATGAATGGTTAAAATGTTTCAGAGATTACCGAGAGATGAACACCGGTTGATTTGCACAGGTTGTGGAGAGCAGGCTGCTGCCAGACAGGGTGGCATTCCACCTGGTTGACAGCTGGTGGAACTTTCGCATATGTGAGCAGGTCTTGCAGCTTCTTTGTTGAGAAGTTGCTCACCCCAATTGCACGTGCCTGTCCAGAAGCATACAAGCCCTCCATTGCAGCCCATGTTTCTGGGAGACACAGGGGAGCCATAACTTCAGGATCCCACCCGCTCGAGCCTGGCTTTGTCCGAAATGGCCAGTGCATCTGTAACCACAAGCACATATTCAAAACCACCCATAGTAGAAATTCTTTGTTATGATGGAACAAAAGAAAATGAGAAAGTAAAACAAAACAATCTGTTAGATTTATTTATTTTGATGATTTATTTAATTATGTTTTAATTTATTTGAAAGAGAAAAATAGAATCTAAATTTTATTTTGATGATTTATTTAATTATATTTTAATCAAAATTTATTTTGATGATTTATTTGAAAAAGAAAAATAGAATCAAAATTTATTTTGTCCCATTATTTCTCACCTAAACCTTTGTCCTAAATGTTGTTAGAATGTATTTAATATTTGATTAAATCAGGAGTTTAAACAACCCAAAATAAAGGTTCAAACAGCCTAGTACAGTAGTAGGCCAAAAGGTTCAAAAGGTTCAAGTAAAAAACATTCAAATTAGTAATGATGGAGTGGTAGTAATGATGGAAGTACAACGGCCATAAATGGCTATATTCAAAAGGTTCAAAAGATTCAAGTGGAAGATATTCAAATTTGTAATGATGGAGTGGAAGATATTCAAATTGGTAATGATGGAAGTAGAACGACTATAAATTCAAATGATTGCAATGACTATAAACGGTTATAAATTCTAATGAATACAACGGTTATAAACAATTATAATTTTCATTATATATACCAAAGCCTCTAATGTAAACAAGTTACAAAAAAATCTAAAAATATTCTTTGATCTATAATCACTCACATTTATTTCTTAGAAATTATACACTGAGCCTTATAGCTTTAAGTCCATCTTTCCTGTGTGAGATTTACAAAAAAATCAAAGCTTCATTTTATATATCTATCTTTGAGAGATATTTACTGTAAGCTTTCTTTAAAAATAAAAATACCATTTCATTTTGTAAAAGTGTTGCAAACACTGTGTTCTTGAAATCTTGAGAGTGATTGTGAATCACTTAAGATTTGTAAGGGTTTGGGCTTGTGAAGTCCGTGTAAAATCCGTGGAGGATTGCTCCATTTGTAAAGAGGTTGCTAGCACCCCTGTGAAGCTAGAAGATAGTAGAAAATCTCAAGTGAAGCTTGAGTAGTGGACGTAGGCCGGGTTGAAGTCAAACCACTATAAATTTGTTTGCCTCTCTCTCCCTTATCTTTTTTATTTTATTTTAAATTGACATAGCTATATTTCACATTTTTACTGTGCTATAATCATTAACTGACATAGTTGTTAAGACACTTATTTTAATTATTTTTATTTGATTAATTATATTTATCTATTGTGCTAGTTATAATTTTTATTAGGATATTATTAATTTTAATTATAAAAACTTAATTCACCCCTCTTAAGTTGTTTCTTGGGTAACACAATCATACACAAACACAAATATATGCATGGTTTGTCTTAGCCTACGTCACAAGTCCAGTATAGAGTCCTATGTTTCAATGTTTAAAGCTATTCTAGAGGTTGTGCCCCAAATTAAGAGCAAGTTTAGCAGATTTCGTATTTTGTTTGTAGACAGGCTATAGCACCTTGACAAGAATGAAGGTAAAAATGCATACGAGATATAGATCGATATAATCAAGTTGTAGGTCTTCTAAGCTCTTGCTCAGTGCCTTTGAGACATCCTCGGGTGCATGGTCGCTGCACCTGCAGATGTATAATTTGAAGTTACTAGTTAAAAAGAGTAGGCAGCATAAGCATTTTGCAGATAGATTGACAGATAAACCAAACTGAGTTTCTAAGCTAATAGATGAACAATATTCAATTCTATGAAAAGAATTCTAAAAGTGTGATATGAAAATCAAAGATGAGATAGACTATCAACATGAATTTTTCTTCATCCAGAGATCCAACAGAAGTGTAGAATAAGATCTGCATAAAATTTTCTTCTCTTGGAGATCAAATGAAAACTAGAATAAGAACTCTGATTATATATTATTCAAACATACCATAGTTTAGATGTGATCCAAATCTCACTTCTCTTCACTACCCCAGTGGAAAATAGTTCCTTCAGAGCCATTCCTATCTGCATATTCGAAAGTTTCAACACAACTCAAAATTTATTGCAACAGCAAAGGGCTAGCCAAATGGTAAGTTCAGCTGTGATAAGCACTTTAGAAATTGAAGGTCACGAGTTCAACTCCTATGAAACATTTGACCACTTTGGGGCCACCCCCAGGATCTGTGCCCAGTAATTATCCGATATGTGGAAGATGGATGGAATACATGTACCCAGGGACTAATTAGGCAAAGATGAAAGACCCCGATACACTTGTTATAATAAAAGGGGCAAAATCCTTCTCAATCCGTGCTTTTGGCCCACAGCACTTTACCCTATTGACATTTAAGTATATGCAAAGGGCACTCATGTAGTTTTAGACCAAAATGCAATCGATGGAATATATATATCCAGGGACTAATTGGGCATAGATGAAAGACCCGGTTACACTTGTTATAATAACAAAAGGGGCAAAATCATTTTCAGCCGTGTTCTTGGCCCATAGCACTTTATCCTATTGACAGTTAAATATATGCAAAGGGTCCTCATGTGGTTGTGGACCAAAATGCAATGCTAACTCCGTTAATGGAATATATAAAATGACCTTAATGTATTTACTATTTCCTTTTTTGTTATCTTCTCTTTCTCTCAAATCTCATACACAATTTCTAACTTAAATCATATATTAACCAAATTAAATCATATATTGACATAAATTAAACCAACACCACATATTAACACACATTTCCAAATTTTTAACCGATAGATAATCACATATAAAATTGTACACACAAACACACACATATATATACACACCGCCCCCTACCTCCACCAAGCCACCCCCACTTCCCTAGACGTTCCCCTTCTTTTGTTGCTACCCCATCCTCCCCTTCCCTCCCTTCCCCTCCTCTCCACTTCCGCCTCAATGGGATTCCTTTCTAACTTTCATTTTATACTTATATATATATATATATATTATATGTATCCACACATAACACACATTGTGTGATTCAAGTATGCATTCTATACTTATATATATATATATATATGACCCGAAGATCAAACCACAGGGTCTGTCCAAACACCAAACCCACATTTGTTAGTATTGCCAATTATTTTATTTTTTAAAATTTTCAAAAAAACATAATATCTATTTTTGTTTATATGTTTTAAAAAATTATATAAAAAAAAAGGGGAGCATATTGTTGGAGGTGGTGGTGGGAGGGGGTGGGTGAGTTAAGGTTATGGCTTTCAATAGAGGAGGAGAAGATGAAATGGTGAAGTTATCTTTTATAGTGAAATTTGACCTTGACTTCGTTTTTTGTGCCAAGTTTCAAAATTGGCCTATGTGACTCAATTTTTTGTCGCTTTGGACGTAATTAGTGACAGTAGGGAGGTAAGTATAAGATGAGTCAAAACCAAGTGAGGGTAGTTTGTATATACTTAGATGTGAGGGTGCTAAATTGCACAGGCCAAAACCACAAGAGAAGAGAGTAGTAAAAAGGATTTTGCCCTAAAAAAAACTAAAATTCATTGCATATATGAAATTTGGACAAGCATGATGAACAAAAATAGCCAGGGTTACAAAAAAACATACCTCCTTTTCATTAGCATACGCTCGTGCACAATCAATATGCCTGTAACCAGCCTGCACAAATTTGAACCCCAATAACCAAAATTTTGAATTGCATATGATTGATTTATCATAGTTCTGATCAAAAGTTCCACTAACTTGAGGATCAACATAATTGACAATTTTGAGACCTTGTATTGATAGAAAGATCTCAAAAATCATTTTGAATAAACAATTTTACATTTCTAAACACAATCTACGATACTATTGGAAAATGTATCAAACTTTGGACCCAATATTTGTAATCACAAACCATCTCCAACCCTTCACCAAATTTTTCATCTAGTTTGATTCTAAATTTGAATAAAAAACTTGATCTGATATGAACTACTCCAATCTATTCATCAAATTTTTGTCAAAATCTTTTAAAACTTCCCAGCTAATCCCAAATTTCCCTTTATGAAAAAAGATCATCTCCCATGCTTCATCTTTTTAATTTTCATGATTTTTGAACATTTTTTCATCACATTAAGATTTGAATGTAAGAAGAAGAAGACCTTGACGGCGGCGGTGACAGCTTCACCGACCACACCAGGAGGAGCTTTCCATGTTCCTAGGCCAACTGAAGGCATCTTGGCTCCGGTGTTGAGATCAAAGTACAGAGGTCCATGATCACTTTGTTTTTCCATAATCACCTACACAAAAACAATCTAAACCAAACAAAGCAAATACAATTGCTGTGTTTACATATACAAAATCATCACATAACCAAATTGTCTCTGTTTGTGTGTTTGTTTGTGTGTGTGCGCGAGAGGTGTTTGTTTGTTGTGTATGAGAGAGACTTTTTATGAGCTTGAGAAACGGCATATGGGTTGGTGACCATTTCATGTCCAAACGTTTGTCTGTTTTTTGGAAGGTAGTTTTGTTTTTTTCACATTTATTTGGAGTCCCTACAAAAGCTAAAGTTGTTTGGCCATGTTCCACTTCTTTGGGAGGTGCTATTTGTACATATATTATTTCTAAGCTTACCTATTAAAAATTATTATTATTATTTTTTTTAATCTTTGAGCACAATTATTATTAAGACCAAAATTACAAAAACAAAAAATCTAAGTCCATACTATATGATACCTACTTTTTAAAAGATACGTGTTATATATATCTTATTTGGACGAATTAAGTGACTTAACACCTACCTTCCCTAAAAAAATTAATGATAAAATTTTTAAAATACCGCTAATAAATGCATTTGTAGTTATTTTTTCAACATAAATTGTGGGTCCCACAAGAATAGTAATTAACCACTCTGCTTGGTTTAGTTTTGAGAGTCAATAGTGAAAGATAATTTTTTAAAAGAGTTCGTAAATTTTGAAAACTTGTTTGATTGTAAATTTTTAAAATAGTTTTGGAATGATTTATAATTTATTTATTTATTTATTTTTTGTAGTTAAATAGATGGGTGTGGGAAAAAAATTGATTGATTGATGCCTAAGATGTGAGAGAAGAAGAGGAGATTGAAAAAATAAATTGATTGATTGATGTGTAGGATGTGAGAGAAGGAGAGAGAAGAAAGAAAATAATTATGTATTTTTAAAAAAAAAAATTGTAAACCAATCAAGTTTTTTGAAATTTTCATTTCAAAAACTGATTTGAAAATGTAATCAAATACAACCTAAATGTTTAATTTGGTCATCAAAAACAAAATAAAAGTAAATCACATTTACCTCCCCCTGAGGTTTCTAACAATTATAGAGGTCTCCCTTATAGTTCAATAATTACACTAATCTCTCTTGCTTTTGAAACTATTATCAAGATTTTCATACTGTTACACTTTGTTAGGTTATTTAACAAAATTTGTTAATGTCATGCTAATTAATATCATAGGCTATAATATCAAAAATGACAAAATTACCCATCAATTACCTTATCTTTCAAATGAGAAATTTTACTCTCCTCTGAAATTTTGCATATATACCATCAAAGACCCATACATATTTCAAAACGAAAAATGTTAATATTTAGTAAAACATTTGGGATCTCTAGCATTATTTAATAAAAATATTAAATTTCATGCAATATTAAATAAAACTCTTAAATTGTTAAGACATTATTAAATCATTTAATGAAAAAAAAACTTAATTTTCATTGATAAAAAACTTAAAAATAAACAATCTCTCTAAAACTAATGTTAGGTAGTATCCTAATAATTTAATATAAGACTTATTCCATAGTACATAAATAACATAAAATTTATTATTTTCAGTAGTGCATTTATTATTATGATTATGATTATGATTATTATTATTATTATTATTATTAAGTTGAAATAAATGTTTTTTTTTTGACAATTTACATTACTTATTAATAAAAATTATTATTTCATCTTTTCTCAATCATATATTATTGTTGAATTTTAATTTTTATCTTTGAGTCATTAAACTTCTAGTCTATATATATTTAAAAAAACGCGAGTTAATATTTCTTAGATGATTAAAAAAATTAAAAAATAAATATGGAATTAAAAAAAACTAATCGTCTCACAATAAATTAAAATTAGTTGATAAGGAATGAAGGATTAAGAAAGGGAAACTATATGCAGGTGAGAGAATGAGAAAATTTATCAACACATGAGGGTGTGTCTGTGGTGGTCTGCAAATGAAAGATTGTGGGGTTGCAAATGTCACTTGCACCTCCTATGTATTGGTAATTTTTTTCCCTTCTTCCACCTGCATATAGTTCCTCCATTAAGAAATCATTTGAAAATAAAATTCAAATAATTTGTCATTTATTACACCTAAAATTAAAATTAATCTTTACTTAAATGGATAAATTATTTGAGAATAATGAAATACTCAATTAATTTGTTATGTATGATACTTAAAATTTATTTCTCCATCTTTATTTATCTTTTTTAAACTATTTTTATTAAATTAAATCTTAAAATTAATTTCTCAGCTTTATTAATGGTTGAATTATTATTTTATTTTTTGTTTATAAAAGTTCGAAAACTTGTCGTGGAAAAAAATATAGTCAAGAAATTAAATTTATATTTTGAAAAAGTTATGAAACATAAATAATAATTTCACATATATTTAATGGGGAAATTAAATTTAGTACATTGAAGGTTAAGATTAATGTTGATAATGAATGAGTTTGGTTTAATTGTCACAAATCTCCCCTTAGATTTTTTTTTTTTAACTTCTATATTTATTTTTTATTTTTTTAATCATGTAAAAAATATTAACATGCTTATTATTATTATTATTATTAAATATGCACCAATTAGAAATTTTATGACTCAAAGATAAAAAATAAAATTTGAAAATAATATATGATTGAGAAAAGATAAAATAATAATTTTTTTTTATATATGAATAAATAAGTAATCTAAATTGTCGAGAAAAATATAAAACCATTTGTTTCAACTTTAAAAGAAATTCAAATAATAAATGCATTACTTAAAATGATAAATTTTACATTATTTATGTTGTATGAAATAAGTCTTATATTAAATTATTAGAATATTATCCAACATTAATTTTAGAGAGATTGTTTATTTTTAATATTTTATCAATGAAAATTAAGTTTTTTTTATTAAATATTTTAATAATGTCTTAACAATTTAAAATTTTTATTTAATATTGCATGAAATTTAAGAATTTTATTAAATAATACTATAATATGTATGGATCTTTGATAATATATATGCAAAATTTCAAGAGAGGTAACTGTAATTTACTCAATTGATAATGAATGAGGCTTCTTGATTTATGGGCATTTTCATTCTTTTCACATGCAAATCAAAGGGTAATATGGTCATATTCACATCAAAGTAACGCCGTTTATACGAATTTTAATAATTTTTTAAAAAATAAGAAAGGTTAGTATAATTATTGAAATCACAAAAGATGTCTATAATTGTTAGAAATCTCCGGGCAGATAAGTGTAATTTATCCATAAAATAATGATACTTTTAGTAATTAAAATATTTCATTCTTAAAAAATTATTTTACCCCTAAACTTTTGTCACTAAAATTTTAATTTGTTGCAGTACCTCTCTTCTATCCATCCAACTACCCCATCTCCTCTTTTTCAATGCTAAGGCGTATTAAGAGGATTGGCCCTGTTGGATCACCAGCTGCAACCTCAAGTGAAGCTTCACCATTTTTATTTTTTCCTTAAAGCAAAGCAAATAGAACTTTCATTTATACGAAAATGAAATACATTATACACATGATTTGAGGTAAACTGCATCATTATTTAAACACCGCTTCCCAACTAATGCAAAGAAATTATAATCGCATATCAAGATTAAAAAGAACAAGAAGCAAGGTTTTAAAAGATTTATTAGTAGAAGACAAGTTGATATTAGTAGAAGACAAGTCGATATTGGTCAGAAAAATGGTTTTGATCTCTAGTTTTGATAGCTTTTTTTTTTTTTTTTTTTAAAGCACAATACATGCAAGATTACAACAACAAATCAGGAAAATGCAAAAGCATCAAACTAACCTCAACGATCCCAACTAGGTTGGCACCGCAGAGGAAGCACAATCATATGCCAGCATTTGACCCAAGATTGGTGAGAAACCAATCAGAACACTTGAAGAAAAAACATAACAGCTATACATCAGCATTAACTCCATTACACAAACGCTACCAATTGGACAAGACAAAGCTTCTGTTGATGGACACCAAGCTTAGGCCATAGCATTCAACCCCAATACTGATAGAGCATTCAAACAGCACTAAGTTTTTGATAACTTTGAGCCAAAATTAAAATGGATTTGACAGGTCCATTGTGGCGGGTTTACATTAAAAGATTTTTATAATTTAGTTCGATTCAAAATTTCTTAAACCGTGATCGCCTCTGTTCAGATTGCAAAGAAATTAATCACAATTAAGATACAAAAGAACAACCGATGTTCAAATTGTAAGAAACACTTGGAAATTTACTAGATAACTTGTAAAATTTGAGCAAAATAAACTAATAAAAGGAATACTAATTACTATAAACTCAGTATAATAACATTAATAGAAAATTTGCTGGGAAAGGAAGAATTTTCAGTTTTTGATGAACTTCTTGAATTTCTTCAGCAACAAAAAATGAACCCTTTGCTTCTTCATGTCCATATACTTGAACAAGAAGCTTAATGTACTTTGTTTGATCCCTCTCACCTTTAGATTTTTGATGAAATAACCATCCAAAGCAGAAGCATAGCTGCTGTATACGTGGGAAAAGAAAAAGAAAAAAGAAGCAAGTTTGTATTAAAATATAGGATTAGTTTACCTAAAGTATACATTTTCTTGCATTCAATTTGATTTTTTAAGTTTCAAGATCATCAAATTGCAAAATGTGAGTTAAAATGAACGCCGTCTATATTGAAAATTAACAAAATGTATACTTTAGATTCCAAAACATAACGAAGTGAATACTTTGAGATCATGGGTATATTTTGTATTTTCAATTCTCTTTGAGCCGTCATGCAATATTATAAAAATACCTCAATTTCCGTTAATCAATTTGGACGGCATGAGTACAGTTGACCATTTAAACTCACATTTTGTTGTTTGAGTATTAAATTGACAAAATTAAAATATGAAAAATTAAAGAGAAACAAGACACATATTTTGATAAGGACTTTGATCCCTTCTCTATTACATGTTTGTAATGAAAGATTTTCATTGTATATCTAATGACTATGAAATAGAAATGCATATTTATTGTTAGGGTTAATTACACTTTTCATCCATGTAATTTGATTTAAATTTCACTTTAGTCCTTATAGTTTTAATTTGAATAATTTAATCCCTACACTTTAAATCTAGTTTCAATTTGGTCCTCCTATCTAAATTTTTGTTAATTTGTCTATATATACACATTAGAAAATTGACAAGTATCCCAAAATTGTTAATTGTAATCTCCAATTTAGATAGAATGACCAAATTGAAACTTTAAAAAATTGACAAGTATCCCAAAATTATTCCAATTTTGACAGAAAGATCAAATTGAAACTGGATTTAAAGTGTAGAGATCAACTTGTTCAAATTGAAACTATTGGGATCAAAGTGAAATTTGGATCAAATTATAAGAGTGAAAAGTGTAATTAACCCTTAAAATTATTTTAAATTTAAAAAAAAAAAGAAAAATCATTACACTTGCTATTGCATGATGCAATGGAATCCTTTCGGAACACTATTGGTTTACACTACAGGAAAAGACAGGTTTGGCGACCAAAATATTGGTTGCCAAAAGTCCCATTTTTGGTCGCCAAATATAATTAGCGACTAAATTTTTTTGTCACCAAGTTCGTCGCCTATACCCTGTCGATGATAGTATTGGTGACTAAACTATTTTTGGTCGCCGAAATTCAACTTTTAGCTACTAAACTTTGGTTAGTCGGCAAAGGTATCTTTTGGCGACTAAAATATTTGTCGCCAAAAGTTCTCACAGAAAACTAAATTAAACTATTAGAGACTAAAATTTTAGTCGCTAACAGAATACGCACATTTAGCAACCAAATACTTCAGTCGCCAAAGGATGTCATGTTTTTAGTGACTAAAATATTTAGTCGGCAACTAAACTTCCCTCATTCTGATTTGTTTTAACTACTATGTGGTTTGGTCACAAAAAGCCATTTGGTTATTTTTTGCTACTAAATTATTGGTCGCCAAAACATTTGCTTACATTTTTGGCTACCAACATATTTAGTCACCAAATACTATATTAATTTTTTTATTTTATTTTTTTAATTTCATTTCCAACCATCCAAAATATTTATATTCAACGTCCAATTCTAAATGTAATACAAATTCCATACGAACCAGGTATAATTCAACCCCAATAATTTAATTTCATACATAATAGAGGATCAACCAAATTTAATATCCAAAAGGAAATCTATATCACACCAAAAATTTATTCTGTACCGCCCCAAAAACTAATTTGTACCACGTCCAATGCTAATTTCTATCGGGCCAAATTTGGATATTTACCACGCCAAAAAACTAATTTGTATGTCTATACGGATGGAGATATAAAAATAATAGCCTTCCGTACTTGTCAAAAAAAGTCATATCCACATTTGTACGTCAAAAACCATCTACAAAAAAAATAAATAAATAATCATTAGTATTGACTAAATATTGGCCAATTTAAAATTATAAAAAAAACATATAAAACTCAAAATTAAGTAATCTTTTCAAATTAATCACTAGTTTTGCATACTCGAATATATATGAAATAAAATCTTTTCAATTTGCCTAATTACATATTAGCCTCTGTTTTTTATTTAATAATTACATCTTTTACTGTTGGTGAATGAGGGCTATTTCACAAGTCCAAATATGAAGCATTAATTAAGCACATATGGAAAAGCACTCAGTACAAGTACTAATCAGTTTTTCATATATAACAAGTATTAATTAAGTCCAAATACTAACCAAGATCACATGAATGCACCATACATATGCTACTATTGTTTTCCATATATAAGAAGCACTCAGTAACCAATTTACTGAGTGTATGCGTGTGTGTGTGTTTCAAGGGATGAAGAAGACCACTAACCTCTTTTTTATTTCTTTTATTCACTTAGTTGATGAGTAGAACTCATACATTACTTAATTATAATTAATTCTTTATTTTCTTTTTATATTATTTCCTAAATTAATTTACATGCAATTATTTCAAATTAAATTATATCTCATCATCTCATAATCTCAATTACACTATATTAAATTATACTAATGTGAATTAGGCTCTAATTCCTATCCAATTATTTAATTCTAACTTGTTAAAATTAGCGAATCAGACGGGTTTAATTTTCATTCTAACCTATCTGTTCAAACAATACAAGTCAATAAATCTCATATCCAATAAGTGAACCATCTTAGCATCACCTCAAGTAAGGCTTTTAACAGAGTTAACTAGAGGAAACTGCATATCATTTGAAAGCATTTCCATAACTTAGTTTCAGTAGTGATATCTTTCTGCCTTTTTACACGGTGAAGAGCATATGGAGAAAGTCAAAGAAGATCTTGAGATTATGACAAATTGACTACACATCAGAACCCATGATGTGAAAACAAGTATGGCCCTAAAATACAAGAGACTAAAATATAAAAAGATTTTATTGACGCCATAAATACACTCGATTATAATATATCACGAGCATTTAAGTGTGAACACTGAAGATAAGCCTCCAAATAAATAAATATATATTTTTTTTCTTTGTAAAAAGAAGTGTGGATACAAGCCTCAAATATACATCCTAAAATCAATAACTTGAATGACCAGCACTTTAATTCATACCTCAGAGAGAACCTTGAGCATCTGATCAATGTACCAAATTTTTTTCGTGGAAAACCTATAGCAGAAAATAGAAATTAAAGCAGCCTAAACTTCAAATATATATATATATATTAGACGAGAAAACTAATATACTTTAATTACTTATGATTCTCAGCCAATCATATTGATAAATCTTAGGTTGCAATTTGTCCTACTTGATCGAAGCCCAGCCATACATTACATGTTAAGATTACATTATAGAAATAAGTTTATACCACTCTGCAAGGTTTCAGCAAGAAAGAGGTTGAAAATTTTAAATGAAACATTTATACTACTTACTTTTCAACAATGGAGCAAATTTTGGCAGCAAGATCTCCCTTGAAATCTTGATCACTTACTTCCAGATATTCAATAAGCTGTTTTGTCAGAGACTTTACATTGCTTTCATTTACAAAAAGATACACAAGTTCAAGGGCCCTTTTCTGAATAAAAGCATCTGAATCCTGAAAAATGTATAAGCAAAGTCAAAATAACAAGAATGCACCACAGTCAAGGGGTATGCATAAATTTAAAGCCAGAACTCCATACTGGATATCAATGGAAATCATTAAATTTAATGGTTCAATTTGTAACAAAATAGCATATAAACCAAAAAATAAAAAATAAAGGTGCCCACAGAATTGAGTCCTTAGTAATAGTTCACTTGGGTAAAATTGCAATAAAAAATATGAAAAGGTGGAGGTCCAAAGAACAAAAGTTGAGGCATTTAGACCACGTCTCAAATACGTTGTACATGTCAAACAATTAATAGAGGGAATACGTGTCAACGTGAAACTGTTTGAGGGACCTTATGCTAATTCTCACACACAATAAAAAATAAAAAGAGGAATACGAGAAACAAAGTAGGCCTATCTGTGCAAGTATGCAGGTTGTGAAGCAGTAATGCTGATCCATGAATTTCCCTTCACAGATACCCATGAAAGCAGTGCCCCTCATATAATTGGTACTGATTATGACCCAATAAAACAACTGATTGTAGTGTGCATTATCTTCGCTATTCATCTTTTTGGCCAAAACTGCAACAACAGTGCAAAAGACATCCTAAAACCATGTATAAAATTTTTCTTACGGTCTTGAACTGTGTAATATATTAGTGTATATCATCAAAACAACAATGGGAGTATATCAGTACAAACCAAAAGTTGCAGACCAGTGGAACTGATCCATAAGAATAATTAAATATAAAGAATTAGCAACATGACATGAGGGGTTGTTTGGGGTGTCCTAAATAAGTGCACTTTTTGTCTTTTTGGACTAAAAAATTGAGGAAAAAAATATGGATGTTTGGGTTAACTTTTTGACTTTTTATGGAAAAATGTGTATTAAAAAATTGTATAAATTAGTGTATAGGAGAAAATTAGGATTGGCAGTTGTGCAGCCGTAATTTTTGACTTTTGGTGAATAGTGATAACTTTTTAACTTTTTGAGTAACTTTTTGATTTTTTAACTTTTTTTCAACTCGCCAAACTTGGCCTTATCACCTTGCAATTCTACTTTATGGTTAATAAAAATAAAATTAAAAAAAGGCGACCCCTGAAGTATATAATCTGAAATGTTCTAGCTAACTCTACTTTTGCAAGAAATGACACCACCACTCAGAATAATAGTACAATTTTTGGCAAAAATGGCACAAAGACATCTCCCTGCTCATATTAGGTTATGAACAGAATTAAGAATGTGACTGAATTCTGATTATGTCGTAAATTCTAGCAATTAAGAGAGAGAGAGAGAGAGAGCATCATGACAAGTACTTGCTTCATCATACTTGATCATTCACAATAGTCTTATATAAATGTCAAGACTCAACAGACATGCAATAATTCTAAAGAAAACAAAAAATAAAAAAATAAAAAAATAAAAAAAAAAGAAAGAAAGAAAAGAAGAAGGTGCAAGTGCAACTGTGCTTAATATGTTAGTGCAAGATACTCTTTGTAAGTTGCTGTGAATGCAAATGAAAAAATTAATTTGGCACATAAGGTGTGAATCACTGATTAGTAAATCAAGCAAGAACTGAATAGAAAAACCTGCGGCTTCATTACACAAGACGGTCATAAACAAATATCAACCATGTGTCTAATATCATGACTAACAAAAGAAATACAAATATCAACCATGTGTCTAATATGGTGACTAACAAAAAAAAAAAATCTTAATTGTACTAATATATGGTATATATCATGGGATCAAGACTGTTGTGATCTTTATCTGCTTTCATCCCAGGGAGAAATTGATCAATTTCTAACCCTTTTAGCAAATGTTATCTTAAATGAAAGACAACAAATTGTTACCTCCACTTGAGAGACTTTTGTGCCAGTTATCAGGACCTTTGGTCCATGTTTGCAACAGGAAATTAAAAAAATGCCAACTTTTTACTGAAATCTCTAGAAATCGAAATGGTGGGATTGAATCGCTTAATTTGTCCAGCTGGAATTGCTGATAAGTTGATCTATTGAATAAGACCTACAATATGGTGCAGATGCAAGAATCTAAATCCTCATCGTCTATTCTAAATCTAAACATATACAACAAACTATTCAACACATTCACTAATTTGTAATTCTTCTTATTGGTCTATAATTTCTCCAGCTACTGCAAGTGCAGAACACCAGAGAACATAATATACGGTTCATTTTGATAGTCAAAATATCTACTATATACCCTCATTTTATTGTCCTGACAGCCAAGAATGTGTGGCTAAATAAGACAAGAAGGGGATTTGAAACCACCAAGGTTAAGAGCAGAATCAAAAGTACTTGAGCTAAAGGCCAGTGATGCATATTCCCAGGACTTGTAACTGTACTATGAGTAATGAATATTCAATGGATCATAAAATACAATGGGGAAGTGTACAGGGGATCATATATGCCCCAAAATCCATGCACATGTGACTGACGATACACCAAATTGCAGTGTCGGCAGCCTACATGGACTGTCCATTAGATAATGGGAATTAAGAACAGTAGTAATCTTACAATGGGACGTTTTAAATCAGAAGGCCATTCAATCTGATTGAAAAAAACACTACACTATTTTTTCTTTCCTTCTTTGGTACCTAATATATCTATACTAAAAAACAACAGAAGGACCATGGATTAACCAACAAAACCACAAAACTAGGTTTTAGATGAATTTTAAATGAAGTTATGCTTTTTCCTGAATTTTAAGATAGACCTTTGTTCTTAACATTCCACTAAAAGATCCAACAAGCTGTTTTGTAAAGGCATCATGAACACCACAGAGACAACCAACAAATAATTTATGTGTTTAAATCAAATATTCACAATTAAAAACAACTTTGCCAATCCATATAACCAACCTCTCTATGACATTTTTACATACACTTGGTGAGCATAAATAAAAAAGATCGGAGAAGTACACTGTTCACATGTAGAGCAGGGAATTGCAACAACACCAATTTTTAATTCCATTGAATTACATATGAAAGAGATCGGAGAAGATGTGAAGATTTATTACCCGTTGAGAAGGAGATCGTCATAGAGGAGCATGCGGGCGTTAGGGTGGAGAGGGTCGGATCCCTGAATCTGGCGGCGGACGGAGGGAGAAGAGTTGCTAGGAGGAGGAGAGAGAAAGGGGGAGGAACATGGTGTGGCGATTGCTGCTGCCGTGGGGTGGTCGGAGGACGATGGTGGTTGCTTCGCCAGAGGAAACGACCTCGGCCACGAGAAATAGGATCAAGACGTCAGTGGTGGTGGCGACCTGTGGCCGCGGCCGTGCCATTGGTGGGTGGAATTGGAGGTCAATGAGAGCAGTGAGAAGACGGTAGGTCTCTCTTCTCGCTAGAGAGAGAGCAGATGGGGGAATTGATTTACCCACGGTTTGGGTAACAAAATACTTATATAATTAATAATAATTGGCGACAAAATATTTCAGTCGCTAATTATTTTTTGAACAGTCTGAAATTTGAAATCTCCCTCCACATATTTTAGGTTTTTGGCGACTAAAATATTCATTTGTCGCTATAAATATGCTTTTGGCGACCAAATTTTTGGTTGCCAAAGATAAAAACTATTTTTTTTGTTTTCATTTCGCTACTAAACAATTTTAGTAGCTAAAACTAACTATACGGCGACAAAATATTCTTTTGTCACTGAAAATATACATTCGGCTACTAAATAATTTTAGTAGCTAAAACTAGCTCTACGGCTACTAAAATTGTGATATTTTTAGCTACTAAAATTTTTTTTAGTCGCCAATTGTAATATTTTTAGCTACTAAATTTTTTTTAGTCACCAATAATCAATATTCCCTGACTAAAAAAATTAGTAGCTAAATATTTGACTTTTGCCAACTAATATTATTTTTGCTAGCCAATTCCCTAACTTTTGGCGACTAAATTTTTTTTGGTCGCCACAAATGTATTTCCTTGTAGTGTTAGTTAGTCCATAGATATATTTACCAAAAAATTTAAAAGAAAAAAGAAAAAGAAAAGAGATGATCATGAACAAAATGCTTGAAATTCAAAGAAATTAAGCAACTTACCTATCATCATGGGGATTTTTTTAGTCACCAATAATCAATATTCCCTGACTAAAAAAATTAGTAGCTAAATATTTGACTTTTGCCGACTAATATTATTTTTGGTAGCCAATTCCCTAACTTTTGGCGACTAAATTTTTTTTAGTCGCCAAAAATGTATTTCCTTGCAGTGTTAGTTAGTCCATAGATATATTTACCAAAAAATTTAAAAGAAAAAAGATGATCATGAACAAAATGCTTGAAATTCAAAGAAATTAAGCAACTTACCTATCATCATGGGGAAATTTGTATTCAATCAGCCTTTCAGGATCTTTGGTCTCCTTAAGTGAGATGTTATCGAGTCAACAAAACAGAACGGGGTTGAGTTGTAGGCAAAAATGTCAAACTTTAGATCGAGCTCACTTTCTTTACGTATCGTCATAATTATTTTTGTTTCTCTATTCACTTCACCATTATCATCTTTGTTTCTATCATAGTTGATAGAGTATTTGGTGTAATTTTTGTTGATGAAGTTATCACTATCACTGTCGCTGTTACTGTCTATAATTATAGCGTATAATTGCCCTTGATGCCAAACCCTGCTTCTTTAGTTTCATAAGGCATGTCAACTTTAATCTTAATGGTCTCATGAGGAAACTCTATGCTTTTTTCATCTGGATTATCTTGAATTTTGAAAGGAAAAATGTGGATGGGATCTCTCCTATCTGTGTGACATTTGGAGAAAAAAAAAAAAAAAAAAAAAAAAAAAAAAAGAATTACGAGAGCTATAATCTCAACTTATTCATTGGCAAATGTAATTAATTATTTAGAGTTAGAAGAGAATATAAAAGGAAGATATAGAATTACCACAAAGGAGATGCAAATTGCATGGGAAATGTGGTAACTTTGTGCCTTTATTGTTTTGATACATTTCTAGTGCTATGTAGCATTTAAATTTGGACTTAAATAACTTTTTTATTTGTTTTCATGTCAAAAGTAAACTACTTAATTTTTTCTATTTTCAAATTAGGAGTTTTCTTATTATCAATATAACTTTTTTTTTTATCAATAATATTTAGTCATTTTTTTAGAAAATATTTTTTCATGAATACAAGATTCTGTCTATTAAAAGATATCTAATTTTGCAATATTCCGTATGCTATGTTTGTTATTTTATTACTTATTGTTGATAATGCTTTTATTTTTTTAAGTTTGAATTAGTACTTTTTGGTTAGTTGTTTCCTATTTGTTAGCTTATTGGTTGTATGAGACTTAATTAATTAGAGCATAAAATAATGAAAATGCAAAGAACAATTTTTCAATTTTTTATTCGAGAAACTCCAGAGACTAAATCGGTGTCTCAGTGAATAGGCCAATATCTTTCATTCTTTTGTCCAATTTTCTTCTTGAATCGCTTTGTTTGAGAGGAGGTAATAAGTCCAAGAAAGACCCATTTTCCTGGGTACGTATTGTAGTTAAGAATTTTATTTTTTTTATTAATTTTGTTAAATAAAAAATTCCGCTAAGTAGTTGTAATCTTTAAAATTATATGAACAATTCGTATTTTATGTGAACTTTATAAATTATCTTTTAAAAAATGAAGTAGAAAAAAGAAGAATCTTATTCTCACCCGCTTGTGAGAATCAAATTTCTTGGTGATTTTGATTTTCTCAGTGAAAGCTCGGAGGAGTATGTCATCGGTCACCACCAGCTTTTTAGGCTATGTTTGGTTAGGGATTTAGAAAGATATTTCGAAATAGAAAGGAAAAAGATTAGTGAAAATATGAATAAAATATACTTTCATTTCATCTAGTTTTATATATTTCTTTTCTTTTCTTTTTACAAATCCCTCCCTAATTTCCCGAACCCAACCCAACTTTAGTGATTTTCATAGTTGGGAATTGAAGTTCACTTTCATGGTTGAGTGTTGCGGCGGAGATAGTGCCGTGGACAAGTCTCGATGACCCAACTGCCCGGATTGTGAGAGGAACAATGGATGGAGAGGCAGAGGCTCTGTGAAGAATGGAAGATACAGCCATTTCTAATGAGTTTAGAAAGAGAGGTGGAGACAAAAAGAGAGGGAGAACATAAGGATCAGATAAAGAATTAGGGTTTTTTGGTTATCCTTTTTTATCAAGGAGTAAAAGCTTGGGAAACAAGGAAAAAAAGATTTATGGGTAGGGTTCAGGGTTTTAGCCTTATAGACGTGAACGGGTTAGTTCTGACTTTTTCGGAGTTTAAAGTGAATTTTTAATATGGGGCCGTCATATATATATATTTTTAAAATAATTATGTATATAATTATTTTTAGGTATTGAAAGTACTCGTAAAAAAGTTATTTCCAGTATATATATATATATATATTAAAATCTACTCAATATACATTAAAGTTTACAATAAGAAAAATGACCAAAATAATCTATATAGAAGTATCATTCTGGCATTTTTAACTGTAAAATTACTAATTTAGTTCGCATAATCCAACTTATAAGCTAAGCCGTTTTCAATGGATAAAATTACTAGTCCATTTAATCTTTCATTTGGCATAGTTGATTTCCAGTATATATATATATATATATATTAAAATCTACTCAATATACATTAAAGTTTACAATAAGAAAAATGACCAAAATAATCTATATAGAAGTATCATTCTGGCATTTTTAACTGTAAAATTACTAATTTAGTTCGCATAATCCAACTTACAAGCTAAATCGTTTTCAATGGATAAAATTGCTAGTCCATTTAATCTTTCATTTGGCATAGTTGAGTAAAAGTAAGATTTCATCAACTGTAATTTGAAAAGAGTAATTGTAAGTAGTATAATTAATCATATTTTATATATAATCCATACATTTGAAAAATAACCATTCAATAATTTCAAACAATTCACCACATTAATTAATTTGAAATCATAATTGAATTTTGTTGAGATCTTTTAAATTTCAAGAAGATTTTTTTTATAGACTAATATAATAATTAACAAAATTTTGAGACCTTTTTTTTAGTCAATTTTTTGGGACTCAAAGCTATAGCTTTTCCGGTTTGTGCCTAAAGCCAACCCTGGACGTGAACCAAAAGTTGCCTTGAGGATCACTCCATTAACTTAGAATTGTTTGAGATTTTTATAAGGGTGTGTTTATGTGATAAAGATTGAATTGATGTAATGTAAATTTAATGTTCAAAATCAATGTATGGCATATAAGTTGATATTTCTAAGTACAATTTTAGTGTGTAATACTAACCTTTTAGACAAGATTGATCTTAGAGTCCATCATAATTGATGCTGCTACTAGACTCTGATGAACGGGTCGGGTTGATCCAGGCCTCCCACACGGTTGTCCGGTCGTTGGGCCCATTGAGAAACCTGCACAAAAGTTCAACGGGGAACGGGAGTCTCCTGGCAAACCCTCCGACGAACAAGTTAGAGAAAAGACTTTAACAGAATATAGAGATAGGATGATGATAAAGAGCTTAACCTTCTCCTTGTCTTAGAAACCTGCTTATATCCTTTGCTCATCATTTCCTTATCCATTCCGACCTATCACATTGGCCGAAAGTCTATGTTCTAGCTTGCCTTGTTCATGGTGATACCGTTTTGTTCCGATGTGAAGGGGTTATCGTAATAAATGTTGTAGGGAACCTCATTAATGGCTGATGTGTGGTGCAATAACTCTGTAAGATCTTTGTCTGCTTATGTGGTTGGTTCATCTTTTGACAAGTGTTTAGATGTCATTGGTCCTTGGTGCAACGTTAGGCTCCAGTAACGTTGGGCTTTGGTATTTGAATTATATATTGGGCCCTAAGTGGTGGGCCAAAAGCCCCTATAAGCCCACCTATGTCAGTAATCCCCCATTCCCAAGTGCAGCTTCAGCCCAATGAAGGGAATAAGAAAGAAGACAGGGGTTGTGAGAGGTCGACGGAGAGAAGATCGACTGGGAGGTAGGCCAACCGCGAAGGGTGACTGAGTGAGAAGGGGAATTGACGGTGCGCAAGGCTCGAGGCGCGGCGTTGCACGTGATGATGTGAAGTGAAATAGACAGGGAAAGGGAAGAGAGTAGTGGTCGTACACGTGGCACAATCCTGTAATAAGGGAAGTGATGCGTTAGCAAGAAATGAAGGGATAGGCTAATATAGGGCGTTGAAGAGGCGGGGTGGAATTTTTTGAAAATTTTCAAACTGGCGAAATTTAATCTTGACCCTTGGAATATAGGCAAATCATAGGCATTTGGAGTTATTCGCTTTACCTACCTTTTTGCAAAAAACCAACACGTCCCATAAGTAAATTCATTTGTCTCGTGTGATACGCCGTTGCAACATTTTGCGAACTTCATTGTGCCAGCATCCGAAGCTATACGTAGACATGTAGG